CGGTTACAGTTACGGTTTAGGGAAAATTTACGGTCATTCGTATTTACGGTTTTATCTATTTAATTTTTTTATCTACGCGAATTCTGAGTAGAACGAATATCTACTGTGTTTCGTGACCGAGATAGTGAGCCTCCCGGTGAGATCTCATTCATCCCGTTGGGTGTACGTTACTGATCGCCAAGGTTGAGCTGAAATGGTCACGCTCCCTGGCTTACGCGTTTCGTGAGGTTATTGGAATCACTCGTACGGTTAAAAGGCCATGTAGATGAAACCAACCCACTCAGCTACAAACTGAGAAAAAAATTTATTCCTTCCAAGAAAATGTTATTGGTGATATCTTTTTCATACTCTTAATAGAAGAAAATATCTCTTTTGGAACGTATTTCTCCAGGCCAGTCATTTCCAGGTGTTCCGAAATCAGTTCCAAGCGTGAGAATTATGGTGATCTATAAGAATATTCTTCTGCATATGACCTCGAAGAAACTCCAATAATAATTATTAACATTTGGAATTATTCCAATTTTCTTTACCTGAGAAAATCGCCAATTTGTAAAATCCGGAAGATATCGGAGAACATTTTGTCAAGGTCATATGTAGCATTATAATCAGATTGTTCAACATCACTGTAATTTTTGAGGATAGAGTTGGACTCTCTGAAAATGACTGTCCTGGAAAAATTCGTTCTGAAAAAATATTATCTTCTGACGAGAATATCAATCCTTGGCAGGAATAATTTTTCCTCTCAGTGCATGGATCGCCATGGATTACTTACGGTTATGTTTCTACGGTTTCGGTTATGTTGATCTCCCAATAACTCCTGGGAGAGTGACAGTAACGAAAAGTGCACTCAGTCAGGCGAAAAGTGCATTCGCGTGAAGATAAGGCGAACAAGGCCTTTTCTTCCTATTTCTGAGTTTTCTCTGGTTAAGAATAATGGTTTTTTAAATAATATTTATCCATGGTATATTCTCTCCCCTCTGGAGAGAAGTGCACTTTTCAGTAGTGAGCCCAAATTGTTTTACTCCAGAAAAGATGCACAGGCCTTCGGAATAATCGAGGTCAAGATGCATCCGCCAAAACTGGCCTGGATGAATGAAAATGCACCAAGGAGGGCATAGAATGGTCGCCAGGACCTCCGACCTCTCTCTGAATGTCCAGCAACCCAGTGAGTCCCTTTTCCAGTGAAAAATTACCGACTAAACCCGCGAGAGGCAGTTGCGCATGGCTCTGTTGCACGAAGTGACGCCGTTGTGCCCTCTCTGACAATGAGAGACTTTGGAGAACCATTAACCCACCATTCGTATGCTTAATTAGTTTCTCATTGGTCTCAGAGGGTTCATGAAGTATTTGAGGCCAGATTAAGGGCATAAGATGGGAAGAACGCATGGAAAGAAGTGCACGCACGCTCTCCATGCGTCATGGATATGGATGCAGTGCACATGGCGGGATAATTCTTTATCCGAGCGAATTGCACCCTCAATAGAGTGCTCTTCTAGCTCAGTAAAGTTCCCCAATGAGTTAATTGATTAATTTAAGGCTTCTCATTATCTCGAGACCCCTGAAAACCGAAAATAAGTAGCTCGTTAGTTTCCTGAAATTGAGGTGACGCCACGACGCTCATGGTGGAGATCATGCTCGAAGCTGGAGGCACGATTGCACCTTTTGAGTGGCATATTGCTTCCCCAGAGTTTTCTATCATTTTTATTTTGGTTTAACCGTGATAATTCCACGGGTTTCCGTCACGAAGGATTTCCACCTGTCGATAGATCCTCCTGCATTCCAGCTACTGGACAGTGCTGAGTGATCATCGGCGAAGACCTTTCCAGAACCCCTATATTTTCCCCTTCGCGCATATCTCTCACTTAAAAATTACTCGACTACTCTCACTCTCGATAAATGAATTTTGTTAAATGAAAATTATAGATTTTGCGATTGTATGTGAATCACGTGGGTAAATTAAATGCAAGGTATTTTTCCATTCAACTAAAGTTTCTCGATTTTTACATTTCCCGATTTTCTGGATGATTAAGGGACTTTTAATTCGGCTTTCTTTCTGTTTGGATTTCTTGCTGTCTCATTACATTTGCGACCCCTTTCCTAAGACCGAGCGACTGATCCCACCTCGCTCTCCGAATTTTCACTCGAGCTACCTAAACATAATTCCGCAACCTCTTCATCTGATTTTCCCAATCCCAGTTACATTTTTATTTTTCCCGTTTCGTTCCCTTATGTCTACGGTTGCGGTTTTCTTGATTCCGCGTTGCCAAAAATCGGCTGGCGCCCAACGGGAGTTTCTCGCAAAAGTAGCTGGCATCCTTTTTTTAGTTTTGGTTTCGGAGAATTTTGGAGAAATTGGAGCGGAAGAGGCCGAAGGTGACAAACTCTGGCTGTCTTCGATTAAGGATTTTCTGCGGATGGAGAATTTGGGTTCCGTTTGATTAATTTTGGAAATCGCCGTCACAGAGTTTTACTGATTACGATGCATCATTTTTCTCATTGCAACCGTATTGAATTCAATTACAGTGGATAGAAACGAAAATGTCTCAGAGTTCGAATTTGTTTCTCGGTTTTTCAGAATAAATTTCCTTGCAATGAGCGGAAATTTTACTTATTTCTGGGAGTTTATACTTGCTAGATATTAATGCGACAAATTTTTCAAAATGAGAGATTTTTTCCCGAAAATGAATCCCTTTTATTCGCGGTCCTGGAAACTATTAGGTGTGTAACTTAATTTTTACAGATTTTTCAGTAAATTTATTTGATATAAAAAAATAGAGAACAACGAACTTAATCTTGGAAATATTGTCCATCGTTTTCTATGACCCTGCGCCATCTCTCAAGTAACATTCAAATGCCGTCGCGAAAGAAATTTGCAGGCTTCGAGGCGATAAAGTCCTCGACGAAGCGTCCAGCGTTTTAATTTTTTTATCCACTAAGGCGTGCTGCATGGATCGGAACAAGTGATTGTCGGATGGGGCCAAGTCTGGTGAATATGCCATGTGCGGGAGAATTTCCCATCCTTAGTTCAAGAGGGTCTTCTGAGTCGTGCAAGCAACGTGAGGTCGAGCATTGTCATGCAGCAATATGACTTGCCTGATTCCTTGCCCAGTAAATGGCTTTTTCCGAGTTCTTCGCTCAGTTTGTTCAGTTTTCGGCTGTAGCGTTCCACAGTCACCGTCTGACCTATTTCCAGGAATTCGTAATAAAGCACCCCAGATACACAGGAGAATCTTCTTTAAGTGGATGTTCTGTTTCGGCGTCGATGTACTGAATTGTCCGGGATCTACCCACGACTTTTTATGTTTCGGATTCTCGTCAAAAATATCCTTTTCATCACCCGTCACAATTCTCCACAAAAAGTCCTTTTTTTATTGCCGGATAAACAGTGAAATGCATGTGTTCATACGTTGACCTAGGTTCGGTCAACACATGTGAGACCCACCTTCCAAGTTTTTGGATTTTTCCCATTTGACGCAAACGCTGAGAAATAGCTGTTCGGGTGACTCCTAACTGAGCTGCTAGCTCTTGTTGCATTTGCGTTGAGTCTTCACCCAGTAGAGCTGGCAATTCCGAATCTGTAAACTTTCGAGGCTGTCCAGGACGCGGCTGGTCAGTCAGATCGAAATCACCACTTCTAAAACGTTTGTACCAATAATTACACGTTTCATAAGATACAATGTCGGCACCAAGAACACTACACATTGATTCCCGTGCTTCAGAAGCATTTTTTCCGTGTTGGGATTCGTATAAAATGCAATGCCGAATGTGCTGTTTATTAGTTGCCATCGTAAACTCTGCTATTCTGAAAGGTTATGTAACTTACATAGACTTGTCGTTCCGTGTTCTGAAACCTTTTGTCCGATCCTTTCAAAACCAGAAAAGACCACGAATATATTCCTATTTTAAATATAATTTTAAGCTCGAAGAAAAAATCTGTAAAATTTAAGTCACACACCCAATATATTTTTTGTTTTAAGAAAAAATACCAATTGTTTGTCACTAGGCCCGATAAACCGTCAATTTCACCTAGCTTTGCTCGATTAAATCGCGGTTTTTGGGCCTAATGACAATACGTATCATTCGATACGCAGCCAGGCAGAACTTTTTAGTGTCAAAATATACAATTTTTGCTAACAAATGGAAGCATTGCAATTATTACATTTTCACATTCTTTCATTTTGATTGGAAATGATGTAGAATGGTCTGATACGTAAAAATACGAAGTTTGGCGACCATGTCTGTATGTGACCATGTCCACCGCCACCTTGCCGGTGGGCAATTTTTAGAAAATTTAGTAATTAAATAGATAAAGTAATTAATAAGAATCTGCAATTTTGTCAGATTATGGGTCCTAATGAGGACTAACTCTGTGCAAAATTTCAGCCCGATCGATTTAATGGTGTTGCAGTAAAAGCGATTCGTTTTTAAATCGGTTTCCATAAATATCTTCAAAACTAGTGGACCGGTTTCGATTGTTTTAATCTACCATATTCATCTCGAGGCCTTCTATTGAAATCAATCAAAACATATATACTCGTTCATACAAAGTTTTCAAAATATTTCCGTTTTTCAGTTTTTTCATAAAAAAAACTTTGTAAACACTCTAGCTTGTGCAAAAATCGAGATACCAACTTGAAATTTGGGTAGAAAATATGTATACCTGCTCATATGAAGTATTCGACACATTGGAATTCTGATAGCACCCATGGAGGTGGCAGTAACCATCTGAATTTTTTGCTGCTAGTTAGTGTTGTGAAGCTATAAACGTTTGTAATATTTCAGATCATTCGGAAGCCGGTCATCAATGTATTGATGGCAAAAGAAAATAAAACATCACTTTGTGACATGCTCACTGTCAGATGGCGCGCTGTCCTATGCTCGCTGTCCCCTGCTTGTTTTCTTAGTGTATTGTTCCAATTACAAGGAAGACTTACTTAACATCCTGATAATACTTCTTCTAGACTGAACTTGACGTGAATCCCAGTGTGCGGAAGATTCACCTGTTCTTGTTGGAGAATTCCTCGTGCTTTTCCTTATCTTCAATCCCATTCTTGTGTACACAATGAGAATGATAAGCATTGGGATGAGAAAAAATACCACACAACTCAACTCGTACAATGGGAAATGGGGCATGTCAGGAAGGAGCATTGCGCAAATTGCAGAGTTGGCAGAATCAATTCCAGAATCTAGATTTTTAATTAAAAAAGCAGAAAAAAATCATTTTTGGGTAACGTTTTTTTTACTATGGAATCTATTGTTGTACATACCTGGAGGATATTCAACGTAATTGACTTTTGTGTAAATTGCGAACGGAAAAGCTGAGATAATGGCTATCAACCACGCAGTTAGGATAATCATAATCGGCCTTTTTGGTCCACTCATAGAATACGTTCGTAGCGGATGGCATATAGCCAAATAACGTTCCATTGAGAATGCAACTATTGTGAGCACAGAAACGTAAGACGACCTGGGTGGTACGAAAAAAAAACAAATGACTTCAGTAATATCGAATTATCAATCAATGAATTTGAGAAGATCCATTGGAGTGGAGAAAATTTCCCCTTATTGAAGTTGAATGAATTATTCCATTTGAAATGAAAACTAAACTTAAAACGTTATTCAACTCAAACTTTATTCAACTATAAACTTTATTTACTCATCTCTTTTACCCTAAACAAACATTCCACTTTTTCACGCAGAAAGAAATCTCAGAAAATTGACTTTGGGTACATGGTGCAATAGACTCATTTTGACGATCCCTAAAACATTTGGGTACGAGCACTAAAATCTTTCCTGCGCGGTACAGTCTTCATCTCTCACAACAAAGTTTTTCATTTTTTCCGTGACCCGTACAATCAACCCATTATACCGTCCTTCATACTCATTTTAATGGTATTTTGCTCTCGGTACAAATATCTCCTTCAAGATACTTTGTAAATGACGATATATATACATATACCCAGGTAGGAATCTCCAGTGTTGGAAAAACGGGCCACGTGTGGCAAAAGCCTGGACACCGAAGTTTGGTCCGAGGTGGGGGCACGCTGGAGCTCGATAACTAGGCCTAACGAGCCTCACCTAGCGGTAGCCTTGAGCGTGGTCATTGAACTACAGCCGTTGGTGTAATTATGAGAGTTAATTGTTAAGGGTGAGCTAATGAGAATGAAATTATCGGTGTGAAATCATAAAGGTAAAATCTGAAGAGTAAAATTGTAATGGTTGCGTTCCATACTACTTCAGTTAAATCAAAAGACTTTTTTTTTTCAAACTTCAAGAAAAATTGGATATATTCTCGATTTATTCCATGCATGCCTTGGATGGCTATTAGAAAAAAAAAAAATTTTCGAGTTATGCAAAATTAAAATTGTAGGTTGAGCCAGGGGAGTCATTCGCAAAAAAATTATAACTCGATAAACATGAATTTTATCAAAGAAGTGCAGAAAAACTTTTTCATTCAAAATAGGTGTAAGTTTCAGGGAAAAAATCCAGACTCGAAAAAATTGAATTCACAATGAATTAATCAATAAAGAAATTGAAAAATTACCAACAAATCATGAGGGCAGGTCGCGAAAAAATCGAAAAAAATATATGTTATATAGTCAGTATCGAAGAATTGCCGCTATAATTGGCGTTCACTAATCTCCAGTAGTTCTCGAGATATTGAGTTTTTTATGAAACTACGCTAGTCACAGATTTCCCCCGATACACGCCATGTTACGGAAACGTGCAATGAATCATATCCAATGGGTTCTTAGCGTGGTAGTTACTATCAATTTCATTATTCTGTGCCAATCAGAAGATGCGGTAGCGTCTCCAGACAAATACGTACCGACGGAGTTACCACGCGCACCCTATACGGCTGAAGATTACGGCAGAGTTACCTATCGCACTTCTATACGGCAGAATAAAAGACGAATGAAATGATGAAAAATAAAATTGACATTTTTCCAAAAATCGCACTTGGAGATTTTTTTTTCTCTTTTCATACTTAATTTATGATTATGTTCAAATAAACCACGAAAAGAATGACGGTTCTAATCATTTTCTATCAGTTGAGGGGACGGGGACAAGAATCTAATCCTTGCGAAAATTTTTAGTAGACAGGGTATAGTGGTGTGAGTAAGCTCATAGACGCGTTGTGGGATAATATGTGCATCACACCGATGCGAAGGGTGGATAGGGTACTAGTATGATTGCACACGGATTCACACCGGCAGTGAAAGAAACATGTGTGAGTATAGCGCGGACGGATGGCGCTACCGTGGGCACGTTTGGTACACGCGTTGGCGTCCATTTCGTGGACTTGTGCCATAACGAGGTTCTCGAACTGTAGTACCGGTTGACAGCTTAAGAAAAAGTTTACGTATTGCAAAGAGAAAACAATTAAAAATCACCTTTTAGAAAAAATTCCGATTCATCAAAGTTTATTTCCATTATTAAATTGCGTAGGGAAAATATGAAATAACATTCTTCTTCATCGATTGTTTTTTGGTGTCAAGAATCATAACCCCAAAGTTTCGTCATGTCTCGGTCATGCTCTCTGACAATTACGACTTTGATTCAGAAGATGAGACAGCATTCCTAGAAATTGATCTTTATCAAGAAAGTTTTGAAAATGTTAATTATTTACTCAACGTTTATTTATTCGACTTCAATGTATTAATCAAATTATGAAATTGTTCATTGATATTGCTCGGCGTTGATACGAGTTCCATAAATCTCGGTTTTACGTTGACAAAATTACTGAAATTCTTTCGTAATACATGATAAGCAACACAATTTATGTCCGAGAATTGACAGATATAATTTTATTTGCTAAAGATTTCGATTTAACACTTGAAGTACCAAAATAACCTAACAACGAGTGACATCACTGTTGTGAATTCCCTCTCTAAAAATATGAGTAAAAATTATCCAAGTGAATGAAAGGTAATTAATAGAATAAAGATCAATTATATGAATATGTGAATTACTTTCCACTCTAGGAGAGTTTCTGACCGAGTTTGAAATATGTTGCTAAAAAATATTTATTCTTTTTATTATCTCTATTTATCGCAAAGCAGGAAAGATGAAAAAAAAGAAAGAAACAATTTTTCCAGGTCTTACGAAGGTTCAGTTCAAATCAACCAACCCCTATTCAACAGCACGAGGCTGGCTATATAAACATCTGTGGCACAAATATCACTAGACCGGATATTCCTCCTGTTATGTTGACAGTGAATTCGGATACACAACCAGAGTCACGGGTATTTCTGCCGAATGAGTTACCAATGGCATCTATAATTTCCCACCGAATAATAACTCAACAATTCCTCGTACCACTAGACTCAATGGAGAGTCCGAAGCAGCTGACTCAGAATCATCAGGTGGATCTAACCAGCGACCAATGACTAACTATCCCCCACAAGTAACTTGCGCTCACTCAAATCAGCATCCTCCACCTGCAGGACCTTCAACTTATTCAAATATGTCAACAATGACTAACAATTCTCCACAAGGAACTCACAGTCACTCCAGTGGACCTCTTGTGCCTCCAGTATCTTCAGCGTCCTCAAATATGGATGGATATTTACTGCCAGGTGCATCTTGTCAGCCCTCAATGGCCAACAATGTAGCAAAAACATTCACTCATCCAGCTGGATCTCTTGCACAGCCAGGACTTTCTGCACCAACAAAAAAAGATATACATCCACCCCCACCTCAGACTTACACATCTGAACTCCCTCTACATCCAGGATTATCAGCTTCCACAAATCATGTTGAAAATTTATCATCAGGTGATTCAGGTCAATCATTGAAAACCAATAATTCTCCAAAAGAAACCCACCCTGACCCCAATGGATCCTTACCAGCAGGATCTTCAGCTTCCTCAAATGTGGATAAACATTCACCATCGGATAGTTCTGGTTGGTCACCAATCACCAATAATGCACCACAACCAACAAACCCTCATCCAACTGAATATCCTCCACTCCCAGGAATCTCTGCTTTAACAAACAGTGGTATGAATTTACTACCAGCTCACATTCAGTCGACTGGACTAACTCCATCCCCAGGATTTTCTGGTACAACAAATAGTGGTGTACATTCAGGATCTGCAGCTTACACAAATATTGGTGAATATGCACCATCCAGTGGATCTTGTCAGTCATTAATCGCTAACCATTATTCACAGAACACGTGAGTGAGTGGACGTGCTCCCCCGACTGGATTTTTTGCTTCAAGCAATATTGAGGGACATCCACCATTGGTTTACACTTACTGGATGAGAGCCCCTCCACCTATAGGGTCTTCAGTTTCAATATGTATTGGTGCCCATCCATCACCAGCCGGATACTGTCACCCGCCGGTATCCAAAAATTACGCACAAGCACCATATCCTTACTCGACTGGACCTCCATTTGCTCCAGATTTTTTTAATTACACAAATATATCCTACAGTCACCCACTGGCCAACCATACTCCTGCGGCTGCACCTCCTCAGCTTTATAGATTTGTTGATCCATCAAACATTAATAAACATTCAGCACCAGCTGTATCTAGTAATCCATCAGTGCTTCCCAATTAAAATCAACTTATGTTGAATTAATTACAAAGTTAAGAGTGTAATATTCCACGAAGGGGCGTCGATTAAGAATGGGCATTACAAGACCATGATCAGAGATGAAAATAATCGTTCCGGATGGATAGAAATTGATGACCTGCGGGTCAAAGGACAAAAATGGTCTCACAATTCTTCTATGTTCATCTTAGAAAGGGGTAAACAGGGCATCATTTGAAAATTTCTATTGACTTTTATATCTTCTGATAGAGACGTTAAAAAAAGATGTGAAATATCCCAAAAAAAAGAAAAACATGCGTATTCGCCAAAAAAAGACAAGTACGTACCTTGGTTTGATTGATTTACTGAAACAAATTATGCTTTTGAAAAAGGTGGAAAAAAAAGATGAAATCAAAACAATGTTACAAGTACTTCATTCTGTAGCCTACAAGATCAGGGCTTTGAATCTAAGATGAGAATCGATCCAACTTCATGTTCTAAGACACGAAGCTTGAAATTATTGAAAGTTGAACAGTTAAAAAACTAACTAAAAAGGAAAGTAAAAGGGAACAAGCCAGGAAAGTTGAAAATTGAAAAAAAATTTAATGTTCAAGAAAAAAACGTGCTTGGTGCATGAGCGCAGCGGTCAACTTGGGGACATTTAAAGTGCGTAAAGTACAGAAAGAAGTACTTGTATCATTGTTCTGATTTCATTTTTTTTTTTCACCTTTCTCAAAAGCATGATTTTTTCAGCAAAGAAATTTCAAGATACATACTAATCTTTTTGTTTGCAAAAATGTAGGTGTTTTTTTTTGGCATTACTGTGATTTCATTATTTTTCAATTTTTCTCGAAAGTATGATTTTTTTCAGCAAATTCAATGGAAGGTTTGTACTTGTCTTGTTTTTTTTTTGCAAAATCGTATGT